CTGGGGCAGGGTGAGCCTGGCCGTCTACTTCTCCCTGCTGGACGAGAAGGCCACCAACGTCCCCTTCGTCCTGATGGGCGCTGGCGCTGTTGTTGTCCTCCTTGGCACCTTCGGCTGCTTTGCCACCTGCCGCGGCAGCACCTGGGTGGTCAAGCCGGTGGGTGGCCCTGAATGGGGTGGAATGGGGTCCTATCCCCTCCTAACTTACTCCACCCCATCCCATCTCAACCCCATTCCCTCCTGACCCACCTCACCCCATCCCACCTACCCTGTCCCATCCTGCCCTTTATGCCCACAGTACGCCATGCTCCTGTCCCTCATCTTCCTCATCGTCCTGGTTGCTGCTGTCGTGGGGTTTGTCTTTAGGCATGAGGTGAGTCTGGGTGGCTGCTGCTGGCTCCCAATGCCGCAGAGTGAGTTTTGTGCTGATTTTAACCCAAGTGCAGTTGCAGATGTTGCTGGAGGGACAAAGGTGCTGCTGGGAGCAGTGCTTAGTTTATCTAAAACAGGTTTAAAACACACCAAAGAGCAGCTTGGTCCCGGTAAGGACCCGTAAGGACAAGGCTGGGAGTTGAGTCTGTCTGGCACATCACGCTGTCCCTCTGCCAGAAAAGGTGAAGTAGCCCTGGACTTTAGTTTCTGGCTTTGGTCTATCTTCTGCAATAATGCCTGTAATTAAGACTCCTCTGAGGGTTCCCATGCTGTGGAGCAGCCTGTTTGGGGGGGAGTTGGCACTGTGTAGATCCTTGTTATTACATGCAGCATCCCTGCTGCAACAGCACATCCCAGCCTGCCCTTTAATATAGTGTTTAATTGCCTGGGTGGCCGGATGAATGTCTGCTGGACACAGCTGGAGTCATTCCTGCCATCGCTGAAGAGGTGACTGATGTGGGGGTGCAGGTCCTGAAGGGCGGGAGGGGATGGCACCACTGCAGAGACCTCTCTCTTGCAGATTAAGACAAACTTTGAGGGTAACCTCAACGTGGCCTTGAGGGACTACAATGTGACTGCTGATCGGCACAGCGAGGCCGTTGACACCATCCAGAGAACAGTGAGTGCCTAGGCTGTCCTCTGGCTGCAGCGGGTGGGTGCGCTTACCTCACCCCAGGGTGTGCCCTGGGACGTCTGGCGTTACTCACATCCCCATTGCGGCGCTGGGGATACTTTTGCACCGCGGGCTTTGGTGTTTTGAAGGACATGCTGAGCGAGATGGGGGCAGTTCCTGGAGGTGCAAGGGCATAGGAGCTGTTGTAGTGGTGGTAGGACTGGCAGTACAATACCCAGGCGTGACAGCGTACTCCAAATCTGCTTCCCCTTCCAGCTGCACTGCTGTGGAGTGCAGAACTACTCAGACTGGGAGAGGACTGAGTACTTTACCCAGAGGGGCATCCCCTGGAGCTGCTGCAAGAGTCAGGACGGCTGCTCAGAGGAGGATCTGAAAGACCTGAGTAAAGCCAAGCTGAAAGTGTTCGTGGATGTAAGTTAAACTCAGAAAAATTCCTCTGCCAGTCCTGGAGGTGGGGAGGGCAGAGCTGGGTGGGTAGAGAAGGGCTTGCCCTTCCCTGGTGGACTCAAAAGGAGAACTGCTCTCTCGATACAGACACCCTGTGGCCCAGGGACTCATCTGAGGTGGAGGTAGGGGAAGGGTATGGAGGAATGAGCCTTTTCTCATGTCTGAGACCCCCCCTACTCCTTCCTTGGAGGTTAAGGACCAGCTGGACCCAAACATTTGTGCTCAGGTCTGTGTGCTTTGGAGAACAGGTGAATAAGGAGGTAGTTTCCCAGTAAAGTTCATTTTGGCAGCACTGACATCTCTCAAGGGATATGCAGAGTCCTGACCTGGCAGTGAATGTTGGGCAAGCTCACTGTGATGCATCTGACGTTCCCCTTATGAGTCACCTTGCTCAGCCCAAGGCTCCACTTGGGAACAGCCCAAGGGCAGCACTCCCCTTGATAGTGTAGCTGGGCTGGGAGGCCAGCTGCAGTGCTAATAGGGAAATGACTTTGCTGAGGTCAGGCAGGAAGGTGGCGGCCAGAAACCTGCTGCCTGCATGGGAGCATCTTCCATTGGAGCTGCTGGTGCTCTGGGGAGGTGCTGGTTTGTCCTCGGGGCCGGGGGGTGGGTCAAAAGCACTGAAACCATGTGCTCGCTTTCTCTCCTCTGCAGGGTTGCTTTTTCCTGGTAACGTCAACAATGGAGTCAAAAATGAGCATTGTGGCTGGAATCTCCTTTGGCGTCGCCTGCTTCCAGGTAACTCGCCCTTGCTGGCTGGCACAGCAGTGCCGAGTGAAGCTAGCATGTTTCCAGAGGTATTTAATTTCTGTGCTAAGTCTGGTGTGTGTACAAAAGGCATGTCTTGCTTCAGCCAGGAGGAAGCAGCTATCCTGCACATTCCTTTTGAGTTTAACCAATCTCCAGTCTCTTAAACCCAGGGCTGAAGCACCATCTGTTTCTGTGAGCCCAGGTTATTTGAGGAAAGCTCCTGTCTGAAACCGCCAACTTCCAAGAAAAACCCAAATGGAGCCTAGGCTACGTGAAACAAACTCCCTGTGTTTGCTGTTGGCAGGGATCAAATAGCATTCTTCCTACCCACCGACCTTGCTATCAGGGAGGCGTTTTGGCACTGTTTCTGCATGACTGGGACCCTGTGAGCGCCCATGGAGCATTGCTTGTGCTGGCAGCTCATGCCTCCGCACGCTCGCCACCTTACCCTGCGATTGTTTCCTCTTCCTCCTGCTCCACCACCTCTCCTTTACTTCATCCTGCAGGACGCTTCCTGCAGCAGCCACAGCAGCAAAAAAAAACGGGCAGGCTTTATCCTGACAGGAAATGAGAGGCCCCAGCCCCCAGCTCTGCCATGCTGGGCATTGGGCACACTGATGCTGTGGTGGGATTTCCCAAGGAGCTGAGGGTTTTCTGATGCGCTGCAGTGGGAGCCGCAAGATGTGCAGCTGCCCCTTCTCTAACTGGTTTCTGGAAGCTTGCTGGGCTCTCAGTGCTGAGCAGCTGCAGAGCGGGCTCGGCAGGTGTTGACTTTGGAGGGACAGGAATTCATCCTCCCCTTGATCCAGCATGTGAGGCCATGGTGCAAGGTGCTGTCCCACAGGACTGCTGGCTGATGGGGAGGAGGAGAAGGAACCCTGCCAAGATATTTGTCCTGTAATGAGTGTGTTGTTGTGGGTTTCCTGTAACGGATGCACTAAACTGGGGGAGAGGTGGGAGCCAACAGCCTCTGGCAGCAGTTTGTGCTAGTGAGTGCTTTTGGTTGTGGCTCCAAGAGTCAGAACAGGTCTGCTGTGCCCAGCCACTCACCCTCCTCTCCTCAGTTGGGCTGTGGTTGCTGTGGGGTCACCAAGATGTGACCAACACACAAATGGTGAGCTGCATGCTCCCAGCTGTGAAGTTATCTCGGCTGATGCCAGGCTTGGGAATTGAAACTGGTTCCTGGCTTTTATCGCTATTTCAGCAAGCCTTGCTGTGTTGTGCTGCTGGCAGGGACCCATCATGGAAATGTGCCTCTAACTTGACTGGTGTAGGTCAAACTCCTGCAGGATCTGGCCCTAAATGTGTACACAGGGGCTGAGAGACCACATTGCGATAACAGTAACATGTCCTTCAGATGCTGATGTGAGAACAGCAACGTTTCTTCCCTGCTGTCCTTGCAACAGAGAGAGGTGGCTGCTGTTCTCTAGTGGCTGTGTAATTGACTGTGACTCTCCTGATATCTGTGTAATCTCTGAAATTGCCATAAAGCAGTAGATGCTTCATGAAGCAAAATGTAACAGGATGGGACATGGAGCATCTCTTGTGAGGATCTTGTTTGGCTGCTGCCCGCCAGGATCCTCCACTTCAGCCTCTCTCAGTTACTCCACAGCAGGGCATGTCAGCCCGTGTTGTGGTTTGTAAAACCCATTGTCCATCTTTGGATTTTATAAAACTGATGCTCTGGAGCAATATGTCAGCCTTTTCCCCCAAAACACCACATCCTGGTTTTGGTTACCTCTGATGTGTGGATTTATTTTTCTCTTTTTCAGTTGGTTGGCATCATTCTTGCCTGCTGCCTGTCCCAGTACATCACGAACAATCAGTATGAGATGGTGTAGCTGGCTCCCAGCATGCTGTGGCTGCGGCTGGGTATGTCCAGCGATGTAAGCTTGGTGGCTACCTCTGCATCCCTGGCTGCTGCTTGGTTGCCCCTGGGGACCTTCAGCGCAGCAGCGGGTACCACTTTTGGGGACATACGGGGATAGAGGGCACCTGCAAGACCATGTCTACTACCTCATTTTAAGCTGAGTGTAAATCCAGTCTTGTCTGTTAACACCTTGTCTTGTTCATTGCAGGGTATTCTCTCCGTGGTCAGGAAGGATGCCCCCACCTCTGGTTATCCTCTGGTCACCGCTTTGTGAAATCTTCCTTGGAACTGTCTGATCTTCTCAACTAGCTCATAGAAATGAGTGCAGCAGCTGTCCTGGTGTGCTCAGGGACTTGTCCTAACACTACTCTGCTGTGCCGCCGCCTGGGATAATTAGCGTAGCTGCAATGGTTACAGCAAGTGCACTTCTCCAGGTGCCGCATCCCCTGGCTCTTTCCTTGGCAGCATGCTCGAATGCTGTGCCGAACCGACCGTGCTGGTGGGCTCATGGGACTCCCAGCGCTTGTCTTCAGTGCCTCCATCAGGGGAGCGATGCTTCCCCACATCTCTGGCAGCTCCTTGATGTCCCCTCACTCTCTGGACGCAGCTGCTCTCGAGATGGGACTGTTGCCCCATTAAAACATGGCCCTGCCTGCCTGAAGCCCTTGGCTTGTTGCCAAGCTCTCTCATCCCTGCCCTGGGTTTTATGTACTTTTTTATTGTTGTCCTTTTTAAAGTACAGGCTGTAGTGATTCTTTAAGCTGTAGCGAGGTTTGGTGGTGTAGCTCCTGGTGCCTTTACCTTAGTAGGTGTTCTTGCACCAAGTCAACTGTGACTTGATTGTCAGTATTATATGCTGCTTTAACTGGTTTTGTGTATCAAGTAGAACTCTTTTGTCCTGAGACACAATAAATATTAAGATATTTTACTCTATGAAATCTCCTTGGCTTTTCTCTTAATCTCCTGGAAATTCCTCTGCTCAAGTCCCTGTGAAGAGCAGCAAACCCCATCCTGGGGGTCAGTCCGCTTGCCTCAGGCCAGCTGGTAAGCTCTGGACCATCACAACTTGCATTTCTCCAATGGTCACTGGTGCACTTGCACGTACAAATAACTTCTGTAATTGAATTTTCTTGATACCAGTGGTTGTGTAGCAGTGCTGAAGCAGCAGGCCTGGACTGTCCCAGCCCAGGAGCCAGGAGGTGAGTTCAGCCCCTGCAGATGTGTGCATCTTCTGCCATCTGGCCACTCACTCAGGGGGAAGAGCAGGGCAATGTTGCTGGAGCTGTCTGGTTCCCCAGCCTCTTCCATGGGGTAAGACATGTGGATTTAAGCTTTTGTGTTTGTTTGCTACTGCTCATCTTTGGGCTGTTTCATCAGCCAGCCTTTTCCTTACTGAGCATGATGCTGCAGTGGTGCAGTGAAGCTCCCCTCCTGCACAGCTTGGATGGTTTTTGCATCTCAAGCACCAAACTTGCAGGAGCAGTGGCTTGGAGCAGTTGGCTCGCTGCCGGGGCTGCCTGTCCTCCTGGGGAGGAGGCAGGTGTAAAAGGAGGGGTTAAGCCACAGGTAGGTGTGATGGAACTCTGCATCAGCCCTCTGGCAAACAGCGCTGGGTTAGCCCCAAACAAACCACTCTGTGGTACAGCAAATGACCCAGTACAGGCCAGTCTTGCTGCTGATGGAGGAACCCAAAGGGGAACACCTGAAATCCTTATGTTGTGTTTAATCCAGGTGAGTAGATCAGACTGCTGTCAGTGCCTGGCTGGCTGAAAGCCGCCTGGGCCAGGACGGCAAGGCAGAGTGCATCGGACCACAGAAAACAGGGTGGAGAGATGGCTGACAGTGATTAATGGGTGGATGGAGGCAAGGCAGGAACAAGTTTGGATGAACCCATCCTCATCAGAAAGCCTGCATGGAGGGAAATCACCCTGCGCTGGTCTGTGTCCTGCCTCCGCAGGCAGCTCCTCCCTGGGGTGGACAGTGGAGGCAATGCCAGGCGGGTGGGGATGTTGCTGGCAGGGGGTGGCATGGGGAGCCAGGAGGCTTCCAAGCAGCTGCAGGAAAACCAGCACTGGCCGTTTGTCCATTCCACCCTGAGGAGTCTTGTCTGGCCTGCTTGTCCCCACAGCCAGCGGCAGGCACTGCGGCCATCAGAGGGTGCAGGTCTTATCTACTGAAATAATGCTTATGTAGACACTTTAATTTGGAGAGACATCAGGGCCACCAGGAGGTACAGGCATGTGCTGGGGGAAATGCTAGGACAGTGCTGTCCTGGCAAAAGCATCAGATGTACCTTCATAACCCAGCTGGACATATCGAGCCAGGACATGAGCACCTCTGACTGGCCCCAAGGCTTCGGTTTACTGCAGCAGCTGTGGCTGGGTGGGTTTCACAGGTGCCTGCTGCGTTTGGACCTCCCCTCTCAGGGGGATAAATGTCTCGGGGAACTTGTCAGAAATGCCTGGTGTCCCCAAGGCCAGTAGGTGTCGCTTGGGATGGCACACAGGGAGCTATGTTGCACTGTGCTCCCAGCATTTTAACCACATTGCCTGCACAGCTGTGAACAGGGATGGAGGGAACTGCCCCTAAAAAGTGCTCATGTCCCCGAGGGAGCCGCGGGGATGGAGGGAGGGCCTGGCTGCCCTGGGAACACCAACGCCAGCACCCTGCACAGTCACAGCTAGCAAAGCCTGACCTCTGCTTCCTGCTCTGCACGTATGGCTGGGCAGGCTTCCTCTGGCTTTGGCCTCCCAGTTCCTGGGGCCTCCTTACCCACATGCTGCCATGCTGCATGTTGCTCCAAAAGGGACTGGTGTCACCCCTGATGTGTCACTAGTAAGGACCAAGCACATCAGAGCATGTGGGAACAGAGGGTTGGGATGCGCTGAACAACCACCAATGCTGCTATGGAGCAAATTAGGGATCTTCGCACATTCCCAGTGAGGCGAGTGTTGGCTGTCACAGTACCTGAGTTATGGATGTTTGTGATGAGGCAACTGAGCAATTAGATCTCTTCTCAGACCCATTAAGCATCACAGACTGAGACTAAACAGGTTTCCATTTTCTTTGCAATCGCTCATACAAGGCGTTTATTTTTTGCCTCTTGCCGCTCAGCGTGGTGACGATGCACTCGAGCACAGTCACCTCCAGCCCTGCAGGAGCAGCATGGGATGCCAGGGGACAGGTGATGCATGCTTGGCAAGGGTGCCACGGTCGGCAGGCTTGCATACTTACTGACAATCAAGCAGGTAATAACCTGTGTGTTGGCTACGTTGGGGCACATCCAAAAGGGTGGCAACATGGCAGGCGGGCATGGGGCAGCACCCAAGCGCTGGATGCTTTTCAGTGGGCGCTACACCCTGCCCAGCATCCGCGCAATCCACCAGTTGCAGGGCATGATGATCCGGCAGATGACCCTTCCACCCTCGTAGCAGTAGGGGTAGGGGTAGTAGCCCAGGAGGGGCTCGCAGACCCGCCGGCAGTAGCGGTTGGCACGGCGGCACTGTGCACAGCAGTAGCCTCGCTCGTCCCACAAGGGGTGGAACTCCAGGCCGTTCTCTGACTGCCAGGAAGAGCCAGTGTCAGCACAGTGAGGAGGATACGTGACTGAAACACCCCAGGAACATGACCGGGACACCCCAGCAGCATGGACAGAACATCCTGGGAGGGCAGCCTGGGCACGCAAAAAGCATGGACAGACCACCCTAGGAACATGGCCAGGGAACCCCAGGGGCACAACCAGGACACCCTGGGACTGTGGCCAGGACACCCTAGGAACGTGACCAGGACATCTCGGGAGCATTGCAAGGGCACCCCAGGGTGCGACTCCCTGCACTCACATAGTCATTGATGGGCAGGTCCTCCTCGGTGAGCTGCCGTGCCCGACGCTTGGGTCCTGGCTGTGCATCTTTCTCCACCTCACGTTTGCTACCCCTGTCCAACCAACTCTGGTTGTCTACGAGCAGCTCAGGGTCTTCTTCTTCTGCCCCTTCAAGACTGGCCAGCTCAGGAACTACAGGAAGAGCCCAAACATTGCTGTCAACAACCAGAGATCAGGGGGACAAATGCAGCAGCAAGCATTAATGCCTCTACCAAAATTTGGTGCCAAGGTACATGAAAAGCTGTATTCCATTGCCCTCTGGTCTTACCAAGCCTGGGAGAAGGGCTGTAGGAGATACTACGGCAGGAGGAGAGGGTGGAGAAGACAGAGCCTCCCCGTGCTCATAGGTGGTGGGGTGCCCATGGTGCTGGCATCCCCTGCATAGGGCTGTGGGTGTGGGGAAGCATGTCCTCATAGTGGGCTCTGCTGCTGGGGTGGCATTTGTGGAGCCCCAGCAAAGTGATACGATTTGGGGCAGGTTAGGCCTAGCTACAGCACCCATGGCTTAGGTGAGACCCACAGTGACATTGATTTCCTTTGCTGAAACTCAGCTGCAGACAGGGTCTGAGAGTGGGGACTGAGGAAGCTGAAGGGGAACAGCAGCCGAGGGCAGCAGCCTCCCTCTGCATCGGTGATCTCTGATGCCCACTTGCTCTCAGGACCATCGATGGCCATGAGCTGACTGATACCTGTGTGGAACAAGATGTGCTGCTGTGGCTGCAGAGCAGAGGGAGGTTTCTGGGCAGGGGTTTTTAAACTAGCTTGTTCAGACAGAAGTAGGTTAGAGAGCAGGTAATTACACTAGCAGATCTCAGAGGCTGCAACCTCTGCGAGGGCTATGTAGTGAGCAGCTGGAGGTGGCAACCCCGTTGTGTGATTTAGATGCAGATGCCTGCTCATGCTCTGATGATCATGCGGTGATGAGAATTTAGGTGTCCTAGTTTCCAGCAGTGCTGGCTTCTCTGCAGGTACAAAGAGTTTTTTGTTTGTTTGTTTGGTTGGTTGGGTTTTTTTGTTTTAGTTTTGGTTTTTGGGGTTTGTTTTTTTTCCCTGCATTATGAAGAGGGTGGCCACTCTGCAAAGTGCATAGTGGTGGGGAGCCAAGAGAGACAAGTGCTTTGCCCAGAGACACTTCTCCCCATGCTATTACATTGGCCATGTTCTCTTGTGGTAATGGCCAAAATTGTGTTTACATCTGAGATGTATTACGAGGCTGTGGAAATGGGTTCCTACCATGTTGCACTAGGGCAAATGACAGAGAGGACATGGGTGGGTGGCAGGACTGGTCCTGGCAAGGGGGCTCATGAGCATTTTGGGGAGGAGGTGGCTCCTTGTACCTGCTATTGGTGTTGGGTGGATCCAGTAGATGGTCATGTTTCTGCAAATGTCAAAAATTTTGGAGCTTTTCAGGAACTCCTTGTTCTGAATGGGCTTCTCTCCAGGCACCCAGACCACAGACTGCTCAAAGTAGGTGGCTGTGATTTCTTCTCCCTGGAAGAAGAGCAAGATTTCACCCTAGTGTGGTGAGACAGCCTCTTCCCACCACTGTCTGCTTCTCCTCCCCTTGGCTTACCCAGAGGCACCTTTGTCCTCCCAAAGAGTAGCTGGGTGTCATCTGCCTTGGACTGTGGTGCTCGCTGGGTGCATGTGCAACACCTCACTGGTCCTCATGAAGGAAGACCCATCATGAGCCTTGTCTTTCCTGCTCGCTCTCAGCCAACACCACCCTGTTCTCTCCTCCCTCCATTCATTGTGCTTCAAGAGCCTTCTCCTGTGCAGTCTGCACAATCTGGAAGAGCCTTCTGGAGCGCCCCAGCTCATTTAAAACCAAGATTAAAACATATCTCTGCTTTGCTCTTAATACTTAATTTCTCTCTCCTTCTGCTACTGATTACATGATCGAACACTTTAATTTATTCCTCACAGAAATTCTTTGCACGGCCATATTCTGAAATTTATACTACATGTTTCTGCTGTTGCATTAGTCCATGGTGTGTTTTGGCAGTTGCTTAGGGAGGGAGATATATAAAGATTATTGGATGGGTCTGTGCCGACCTATCTGCCAAGGCAACTCTGTCTATGTTGGTGGTGGTAGCCTGTAAAGCAAGCTGGCAAATAGCATTTTTCACTCCAGAAGGCATCTGGAGCTGTATTTCTCTTTTATAGAGTTTTTCCTTATGGCTTTGGGAAGTCTTAGGAAAAAGCCAACACAACCTAACTCAGTCTGAATTGGTTTTTGAGTCTGTGGAGAAAGCCACACGTTTGGGGAGGTGCTGCCTGAAGGACCTGGCAGCGTACAGGCTCTGGGAAGAGATGACTGGATCTTATATCTACATTTAGCTCATGGGTTGTGCATTTCAGCTCTCTACCTGGGACAATGTTCTGCTAAAGCCTGGCAAGTCATATCCCTTTTATGAAAGTAGCCGAAAAGATCTATTAGCTTCTTATAGGATAATCAAAGAATCGGCATCTGCGAATTTGGGTCATGATTCAGGGAAATGTTTCTGCCCACGCTTCATTTCAAACATGTGTCCTGCTGGCATTTTATCTGCAATGTCTTCCTTGGGGCTGTTTCAATCTGCTAATACCCTTCGTCTCGCAAATGGGAAGGTGGGAGGGCTGTGTCACGGGGCTGTGCCACCGCTGGGGGCTTGGGGATGGGGATGAGGACAAGGAACAACTGCTCTCAAAGGACTGAGCCATCACCCCGGGTTACACTGTCTGAGAGGGGTTAAAATATGGAGTCAAACAATTTTTTTCCATGTGGCATGCAAAATGTGAGGCCCCTTGCAGCAGGACATTGAGGGCAAGTTAAATGGATGCAAGAAACAACCAGGCACATCGATGGGAGGAAGGTCCATGCAGGACAGGGAGGTGGCCCCAGCCCGGTGCTTCCCACGTCCCGGGGCTATATGCCAAGTGGTTTTTCAAATCAAATTTCTTAAACATGGCTGCTCTTTTAAATTCATTACTTCTGCCTCATTCTGCTTGAGAACATGAGGCTCAATTCTAGGAGAAAACAATTTGATTGACTTTTCGGTGCCTGCCAAACCTGAGCTGCCTTGCAACCTTTTGACTACAACAGGATTATTGTTCTTGATCTCTGGTATTGTGCCGAGAGGTTTTTGTCTCTTGGCTGTCTAATCCTGTCTCTTTCCTCTTGTTGTTTTTAGAAGCAATTGTCTGAAATAAGATCATTTTATGAAGTGATCACAACTTATTATTTCTTTATTGCAGCCACTCTCAGAAGGCTGGAGCAGATGGAGGGTGGTGGAGATGGCAGCCAAGCTCCCCATGCCAGGGAGAGGAGTGGGTTTCACTGAGAGCAGAGAAGTGTCCTCTTTGGTTCACCTACCTCAAGCTCGGGGATCTTGGCCTCTGTGGTCTCAGGTAGGACTTTAGTCTGAGTTTTGATGAAACATTTTTTAAGTCCCACAAAGAAGATGCCAGTTATCCCCTACAGCATCAAAACAAACACCAAAAAAAGCAGTCAGGGCAAAGCAGGAGGAAGTGAATAACCCCATTGTACTGAGGGTACAGCTGGATGAAGGTTTAGTCGTATTTTTCCTGTTGCTGTTTTTTTGCAAGCTCTGTTCAGATATACTAGCAGGTTCTCCTAAGGGATATTGCGTTTTATAGTTTGGAAGAATTTGGCTTTTAACAAATATTTTAAGGCAGATAGTAATAAAATTTTACTTTGCTGTCCTTCTTCTAATTACTATCATGAGCTCTAGTAATCATAAAAAAAAATATGCAGAATAGCATCTGACCGTTATGGTTATATGAACATTCAGCCCCCAGTTCCTGCTAGGCTATTAGCTGAAAATTTTGCCATATGTCACTGCACAGGGTATTTCCCTACAAATTTTAATTAGGTTTCAGAGAGAGCCTCCAACATTGTCATGAGGTTTTAAAGCTCTCCAGACAGACAAATGTACTGGGCTTGGATAGATTTATGATGATTGCATTCCTTTGCAAGGGTAAATCCAATAACTAGGTCTTGCTTTTAAGATGCATTTTGTTGGAACTGAACAACTATTAAATACTGGTGGAAGCTTATGTAGATACACATCTCCTTTCCTTTGAGAGCATCCCCAGAGAGTCTGCATATGGGCATTGCTCTCCCTGATCATCTTAGGTCCTGCTCCTGCAACCCTGCAGAGTCCTAAGGGAGCCCATTGGTCCTGCTGGAAGATGACAGGCAGGCTTCCGGGGACAAACCCTGCTGCACTCACGTTTTTGAAGTCATGAATCTCCAGGATTTCCTCGCTGCCGTTCCCACTCCTGAAGGTCTCTGTCCTGGCCAGCGGGTCGATCTTCATCACAATCTTCTTCTTCTCACCGTGGCTGAAGAACGTGTGCTCCATATCATAAACCTGCGAGGGCCAAAACCACAGAGGGGTTGGCCCAGCCCCTGCCTGATTTCACACACGGACAGGTGGGCAAGTGGGCTGGTGCTGGATACCTGATCCCTGGTACCCTGCCACATGGCCGGTTGCTTCCCTGCATCCTGGTTCTGAGCCAGGATGATTATCTACATTGTTAAAGGAGAGGCAGTTCCTAGGCATCGGGGCTGGGAAGAAGGGCAGGATGGAGCTGGGCTGTGAGGAAACATGTGCCAAGCCTGGGAGAAGATGCTCATCTCACACTTGCACAAGGAACTCAGCCTTTGCCAGTGCTTTCTGTGATACAAGCCTGTTCATGTCCCAGGCTGGACTGAAGTCCTGAGCCCAAGGGACCTCACTTTCCCCTTTTCCTGGCTTGCTTGCTCCATCTCTGTGCCTTCTGTTTTTCCTGGAAAGGCAGAGGTAAAAGCCTCTCTCTGCCTGGAGGAGATCAGGGATTGCCTGCAGATCAAAGATCTCCTCGAGGGCTGCTGAAGAGCTTTGGGGCGTAGCAGCTGGCTTTCCAGTGGCACTCATCCCTGTGGGGAGCCAGGGGAAGCAGTGCTCTCGTGCTTACCGCACTCAGCCATCCCGGCAGCCCTCCAGTCTCTGCAGATGCCTGACCCTTAAAGAATGAGTAGTGGCAGATGTTATTTGAATCACAGAAATGATCCTGCTGGCGTGGTGAGACCCGGCAAGCCTTGGGGGGGCGGGGGTCTCAGTTCCCAAATCAAACGGTGCTGTGCGGAAGCAAAGGGCTTGTGCAAGACCCCCCAAGTCCATATGACGGGGGGAGTGATGGAGGCAGGGGGACAGAAAAGCCCTGTTCGTTCCCTGGCGTGGCCATGGAGCTTGGGAAGGAGCACCCTGACCCCACGGCAATGCCCTGGCAAGGGGCAGGGGGCTCTACCTGTGGTCCCAACCAAAACCTCCCTTCGCAGTCCATCCCTCCCTATAAGGGGGTTTAAAGCCCCCTTCAAACCAATGTTTTCAGCACCAGCACCCCCCATTTTGTGACTGCTGGTTAAGCGTGGGCACAGAACGGGCCATGGGTAACTGCTGGGTACCTTTGCCCTGCTTAAAAATTAGAAGAGCGATGTGTGCCTTGGCAGCCATGAGCATCTCCTGTCAGTCAGCAGGAGGCTTTTACAGAGAGATAGGGCTGTCAGTGGATTTTATGGTATGGTAAAAATAGTCCGAAGCCTAAAATGGCTGTAAGGCCACTGGTTTTGACTGACAAAATGTGCACGGTGCCATAAACCATTTCTAGGAGGGTAGGATTCCAGGTGGCACCTTACCTCCAAGTGCCTCTCCATTTAAGAAGAATTTCTTTTGCCAGCGCAGTGGCCAGCTAACCCATTTGGGCTTGGCTGACTCTGTGCTGCTTAGAGAGCTGTGAGATGTTTTATAGGGCTTAAAATGACACTTGCTTGTCAATTGTTGAAATATATGCCTTGCAAGGCCGTGACGAGCCCCTTGTTAGCTGACTCATTGCCTTTGCTCACCAGTGGTGCCAGCCGACACAGATGCTGCTGTGCGGAGGGCAGCACCATGTTCAAGGCCACCCCTCGGAGGAACAAGTCTTCTTTAAAGATTTTTTCCACTCTCCACTTGCATGAAGGGAGCTCAAAGGGTTTTTTGTTCTTTAAAGAGTTTAATTCCCCTTGGTTTATATTTTGAAGCATTAGGAACTTCCAGCCTTCCCCCTCCTGCTTTTCCCAGAGGACTCCCGGGCCAGTCGAAGAAGCTGCTTCCTCATGGTCACAGAAGATGCGGCGATGCTGGACGCTGGGAGCATCAGCATGCAGCTCCACCGCAGGAATGTCTTTGCTTTCCTGTGACCTTGAGCTTCGCTTGTCCACCCATCAGGTGGCGTGAAGGGCTTCCAGAAATACTGACAGACTCCAACTTCCATCAGGCCAACGGAGCCAAGGACCAGTGCCCAGGATAACCCTTCCATGGCTGCGGCAATGGCTCTGCACCACTGGCTGGGATAAAACTCCTCTCCAGGGGTTAACGGCCTCTTATCCCCACAGCTGGCACACACCTTGTTTTTCGAGGAACAGTAGAGACTTTATAACTGTCTTGACAGGAGCCTGGAGGCACATATGGCTTTCATTACTTTTTCTTTTATTTTTTTTCAGGTTATTTATTTCTATTTGCTGATAAGAAGACAAAGTTTCTGGCGAACGGGGTGTTTCCTCCACCCAGCAGGAAGGCTGCCTGGCTGGGATAGCTCAGCTGCAGCATGGGGCAGGGAGGAGAGAGGCAATGCCACTTTGGGAAGGAGGCCACCTTGGCTGCACACTGGAATTTTGGAGATGCTGTTGAGAATTGGCAAAACCCTCCAGAGCCAGAGTGCAAATCGGGGCCTCCTGGATGAGTGTGGAAACTCAGAAGGGAGGAGGATGAAGAGCTGAGGGCTGGCTGTTGGCTTAAAAGTTAAGTGATTTGCTTGGGGTATGGGACAAAAAATAACGGTTTTGGCAGAATTGCCAAGATGCTGGGCAGCAGTGGGCAGAGATACACGAGAGATGTGCAGCTCCGCTTCCAGCCCCAGCATGGTCAGCATTTACAGCAGCATCTGTCTAGGGAGCTGGAAATAAATGAGCACAATCCAGTTAGCAGGAGCTCCTCCAAAAGCTAATCTGTCTCACCATCCCCTCACATTGCAGACACATTAAAGTAAGAAATGTAATCCATGACAATCAATCACCACTGCGTCCTGGCTTTCTCTCCTCTTTATGCGGTGGCATAATGACTTTTCCACCAGTTTCTGGCAAGATAATTGAAATGAAATGGAAAATATTTTCTTACTTGTCATAAAATTTGCTGCTGGTGAAATAAGAGTAACTTTAACTCTTTGTGGTGTAGGTCCCATCCCCTGTAATTGTCAGTTAGGGAAAGAATGTGGTGACAGAGAGACAAACCCAGTCTGTATAAAGTAAAAGCTAGTTATGAATAATACAAAGATTTTTAAAAGTCCCATGAATACTTGTAGTCTAAGAAAATGCATTTTGTAAAGTTGCCTGGGTTTCAGGGTGTTGAAAGTTTCAGTGAGTTAGGTGGGGGGACAGCTCTGTTTGGGGAAGCAGCGCTCAGAAATGTCAGATCAGAGAGTTTTTACTTACTTTTCTGGGTGTTGAGTTCCAGAGATATTTGACACCAAAAAATATCAGAATAAGAGAAATGAGCAGCACGCTGAATAACAGTCCGCAGATCTGGTATCTGGTGCACGTCTTCTTTCGCATCTTGGATGCTTCTGCCTAATTAATGACAAAATAGTGATAGCCAGAGCTCTGTTGATGAGTCCAGCAGGGACGGGTACACATGCATGTCGGACATTTGTCATGCTGATGAGCTGCACGGTGGCAAAGCAAGCCCTGAACTTACATCCAGAAAGCAGCAGTGCTCCGGGCTTTCCCGAGCTGTTCCTCCCATGATCTCCTCTGTGTACAAGGAAGCAAGCCTGCTCCGAGGTGGAGTTACAGAGGCTCTGGGCTGCAGATGTGGTGGGAAGGCTGGGTTGCTGCCACCCCCACCACGGCGTGGCCAGCTTTCCCCCACAGTCTGCAGGATGCTCCCGCAGCACTTGCTCTTTGCAGTGTGCAAGCGATTCCCACACTTTTGGAGATGAGTCTACACGTGGCGTCCATCAGCCACGTCCAGAGCCAAGTCTTCCTTTAAATCTCTATTCCTGCCCTCTGCTTCTGCCCACACACAGGTTGCCAGAGGGGCCCATGTGCATGTGTGTGTATGCATGTGCATGTGTGCCTATGCATGGATGTGCATGTGTGCGTGTGTGTGTGCGACAGTGCTCAGCGCCAGCCCTCAGCACCGCGACGTGAAGCCTGAGCTCTCCCTGTGGAGGGCTCTGGCATCCTGCACCTGCTGTGTGCAGAGCCGTGCCCCAAAGTCGGCTAAGCCAAGAATTTCCTGACTGATTTTTTTTTCCCCTATGTTGAAAAATTTCCATTTGTTGAAATCGTACCATTTCTTCATGGAAATGAATCCATCTTAAGAAAGGCTTTCAGAAATCCAGCATAATGTTTCTAGTCTGAACAGGATGAGGCTCCCTGGTGTAGAGGAGCTGGCATGTACTGTTTATTCTCATAAAAACCCAGAGTGCATCATGGACTAATTAAAATTGCACTGAAAAAAAGAAAACCCATGTCAAGTTTTGCTCAGGGTGAGCAATGGAGAAAGAAATTACTTTTGGTAGGTCCAATGCTGGCTTTGAGAGTGTGTCAGGGCATCATTGCCTGCAACCTGGGGGTAAATCCAAGCACGACAGAAGCAGAGTTGCTGAATAGCTTGGGGAATGCATTGGACACATGTGTGGGGTATGGGCTTCCTGGCCACGTAACCCAGCACCAATCGCTCAAGGATATAAAACACACCAAGTTTTTTAATATTTGAGAGGCAAATAACAGAAGGGAATTATATTGACAAGTGAAAGACAGCAGGTTATTTGAAGGAGAAAAATAACTTTTTAATGGCAAGCAATCCCAGGCAGCCTTTGAAAACATCTGAAATGTTTTGGAAATCTAAATGCAGCAAATCTGTGCAGACACCAGGTTTGGCTTTCTCTACTTTTCACCAGAAAGTTTCACCTCTGAAGCTTTTGTTATTCACTGGAAACTGAAGTATCTGAAAACATTTCCTTTTCCTGTCAAAATTACAGTTTCAAAGGAAAACTTTGGAGCAGCTCTACTGAAAGACAGTTATGATTACAGGAAAGAATTACAACAGCGCCATTAAGCAGACATAATTGATCAGCATAGCAGCGATCTTCACAATATGCCCCACTCCAGGCACAGGAAACACTGCAAATACCACTCATAAACCAAATTAGGCATTATTATTTTATTACTGTTGTAAGGTAAATGTCAAGCTTTTTAATGGCAATCACTGTAACTCCAGCAGGAGTCAGGTGTCTGAATTAGCTGGAAGAGGTGAGAACCTCCCAGGGCTGGAAGTTAATAAAACTCAATAAATATCACCAGCCCCTTCAGCATTCAGGGTTTCAGAGAAAGAAAAAAAAGTCTTTTCCACGAAAAGACAACAATTTTTTGGGAAAAAAAGAACCTCAAAACCTTGTCTTTAAGTTGACAATCAGGTTCTCTGTATAAAAAGCAGTTCCAATGGAAATCTCCCATCAGTGCAATCACTAATTTTCCTTAAAGCTAATGAGCGCAAGTCTATATGACAAGGGAGAATTTAATCTGATGTGAACTAAGGAAGAGAAGCAATACTGATATTAATGTGTGACTAATTGATACCCAGAAGAACATTTGAAATTATTAAAAGGCATTTGATTTTTATACAGGACAGTAAGAAGCTCATTGCCTACAACTGGTGCATCCTTTCAGTTTTCTACTTCTTGCTCCAATTTACCCAGAAAAATCTATCGTATCTGCAGTGTAGCTTGACTGCCACATAAAATCTCTGTGACTGGAAATGTTATACCAAGAAATTCCTCCTGGACAGCATGAAGGTTCATACATGGTGTGAGCAGGGGCTAGAAACCTGGCAGAAATGAAATAGGTCCCCAAACTGCTAAAAAGAAGCCCCCAAAGCAGGGGAGCTCGGGCAGCAGTCTCCAGCCAAAAAGCCATCATGATTAATATGGTGCTCTTTGTTATAATGAAAAACCCATTAAGGTCAGTGGCACTAAATTGGAATGATGGAGACAGTAAAGTTTAAAATGAGCCATAATATTCATGTGGATAGTGAATTAATTGGGCAATTCCATAGGTAGTATGTAAATCATATCATTTACCTCAGGCCACAGTGCCTCATGGCTCTTGCTGCAGAGTGGTGTGGTGGCAATGGTGGCATCCATTCCCAGCCGGAGCCTGAGGGAGTGACATGGAGCTGCAGCACCTGGAGGGACCCTCCTATGTTTGTCTCTGCCAGCCTTGGTCCCTTCTCCTTGGGTGCCAGTGAGGGTCTCTCAGTAGGAGAAATACCTCTTGCTTTGCTCTCTTAGGTGCACCAGCCCCAAAACACAGCCAGAGCACCGGCTTACAGCTTGTCTGGGGTGCTGTATCCAGAGTTCAAGATGTCTGTCCCCCGTCCTACAGCCGTGGTCCAAGGTGTCTGTTTCCTGTTGATGTTCCACACACAAAGCTCTGAGCAGGCTGCCAGTAGATTTACAGACCAACTGCTCCTCTGGTTTGGGTGGGTCTCTCAGGAAAGGCTTCCTTGCCCTTGAGAGACATGCACAGCACCATCACACAGCCCTTAGCCATCTCCTGCTGCTCTTGTGTCTTGGACTGGGACACGCTCTGGGGGCAGAGGGCAGTGATTTGTACCAAAGTGAATAATTTACATGAATGTTGGTTGGGCTGCCAGCTTCCCCCCCCCCCCCCCCCCCCCCCGCCCCTCCGGAGTCATCTTCTCTGGAGACATTCAAAACCTGCCTGGACACATTCCTCTGCAACCTAGTCTAGGTGATCCTGCTCTGGCGGGGGGGTTGGACTGGATGATCTTTCGAGGTCCCTTTCAACTCCTAATATTCTGTGATTCCAACATCCCAGGGAGCAAACAGAGAAAGAGAAAAATCACATATAAAAGGTAACTGCTCATTAGCCAGTGGCTGATTACACAGAACTGTCTCTGCTTCAAACCACCCCATTTTCTGTAACATTTGCTAGATGAGAGGATGTGCACCTCCTCTTATCAACTAGCCACATATGGCCTCAACTGAAGAGAGGTTTCAGTAATTTGCCTATTCATCATTCATTGTTTATCTTAGGTTCACATTGTCATAGGGAACTCCAGAGACATCCTTGATATAAGTTAAGAAACTTAATCATTATGATAAAACTGCTTGGGGAGTTGGACTTCATGTTGGAGATGCATCTGGCTGTGTAGCACTCTGGTAGCCTGTAGCCAGAGCAGATTATTCAAAGCTGACAAAGCTTTTTGAAAGAACAGAAATAAATTTGTGGTGGCCATTCTGATGGAGCCACTCAGAAAGTTATTACCAAAGACACACATTTCTCCTTGCTCACAGCCCATGAAAAATCCCGCTCCTTCGAGCTCAGGGGGACATGTATCTCATTGCTGCTGTTGTGACTACCTCGTCAAAAGAAGTTATTAACAGCACCGGAGGATTTTATCCAAATGCTGGTTTCATCTTGATAAATAACAATTTCATGTCTCTGTTCTACTGGATGAGTACACAATTTTATTTCAAACACTTAACTTCCTCAGAAATGCTTCCCTGTGCACAAGGCTTAGCTCATCTACAGCGTATGTGCTGAGCAGTTTTTATTTTCACCAGGCTTCGAATATCTGTAATGCAAAGACCAAACCATAATCCTGCACTGTCATAAGTCACTTCTCCCAGTAAAGAGCTGCTTCCAACTGGGAGTACTAAAATGTAATTGAGAGCTATGTGTGTATTGGTGTCACACCGAAAACCATTTTATTAAAAATAGTTTAAGGGTTGTTAAGATCTGATGGAAGAGCCTACAGCTCCTCTCGGATGCACAAGAAAGCAAACCAAGAAGCTGATAACCCGGGGAGTGCGATGTCAGTGTCTGTCTCTGCCCCGCAGCAATTGTTCCCCTGGTGTCTATCGCACCAAGCTGCCGTACAGGCGCTGTTGCTGGGTCCATGCTTACGGCAGCCGATGAATACTCGGTGTGATGCAGGCACTCCCCTTGCAGCTGGTAATTGTCAGCGTCTAGGCAGCAGCAGGTGATTTTATGAGGACTGTGCCTGAAGGAGGTGGCTGAGTCCAGCCTGGTTTCTTGAGGAAGTGCAGCCATGGTGCTGCAGGTGTGTGGGTCTGTTTTGGGAGATGGATGCTCTCCAGCGGCAGTGATAAGACCCTCGGTGGGGGGAGAGACACCAGAGTCCCCTTTGAGTGACTGCAGGGCCCATATCTCATCTCGGTCGTGAACTCAACAGTGGGAAACCTGCAGGGAGAAGAAAATTTTTGGTAAAAATGACTGGGATTGTGTGAAAAGAGCAACCAGTGTATTATCACTGCATAGTAAGTGTAAAATATTTAATAATAACATATGGAACATTTCCTACTGAATCGGTTCAGTATCACATAGGCTCCTGCACTATTTTACTCTGTTACCTGATACATGTATTGATGTTGTTTACTTACGAAAGCAAGTAAAAACAGCATTGAGGTTACTTCTGAATGCTACTAATCCAGAAGGAATCCATTAAACTGAATAATTTCAACACAGTTAATTTTCCTTCAATTGTCATTAAATCTCCCATTGATGGCCTTTAGCAATTAATTGTGCCGTGATGCTGCAAGCATCATTTTCCCTCTTCCTCTGAGCCCACATAGAGCCACAGCATCACAGCAGTGGATGAATGCCCTGATCTCCCAGGGGTGCTGAGGTTTCTGGGGAGATCCTGAGGCTCAGGAGATGGAGGTTTTCCTGGTCCTTTCTCAATTATGTCCC